AAAGATGTAGGAGACATAATTAAATAACTAGCGTTCGATAAGATTTTTGATCGATAATAAAATATATGGAGTAGTTATCGATATATAGAGAAAAACTCATTATTCGTGTGATCTATGTATGTATTTGGTATGTTACTTTGGTATGGTTTAGTTGACATTGAAATGTTAGATAATGCTTTAATTCTCAAGGGGATGTACGATGTCATAATATTAATGGGCCGACAATTTTTATAGTTTTACATTTTTATACCCTGAACCCATTAAAAATAGCAAATCAGGACATAATATTTTTGTGATAATATATGTAATAGGTAATAGAAGGATATATTCAGATATATTCTCTCGCTCAGAACGACGAGCGGAGTCGATATAGACATGTTTTTCCGTCAGTCCATCCGTATGAACGCCGATATCACAGAAAATATAAGAGTTAGAGACTGAAATAAGACATGTATACTCGTGTATACCATACGCAGTACAAGTTTATCATATTTTTCGACAAATCATCGCTTTTTTTATCGACAATACTAATAAATTGGTTTCGTTTTTACTGTCTATATATACATACATTTGGTGAATACAAATATTTTGTAATTTACAGATTTTGGATACCACAGCCCCTTCGCCCACAATTTGTACGTACTTAAAATACTACTACGTTTTGAAAGTTTAATGAAGATAGTCCTATTACAAGAGAATTAATTTAATAATTAATTTCCTATAATATTGCCCACACTACAAACCAAGCACAGTCGTTACTAGCTAACAGTTAATATGTATGTATGTATGTATAAAATAAGTTGAGAAGACTGCTAATATCGTAGTCAAGCAGACTTAACTAGAACATTCTTGATTGTTGTTGCTTTAATTAAAGCCATATACAATATTTTTTGATTCTATATATCTTTATACCCTGAACCCATTGAAAATGGTAAATCAGGGTGGGTTTTTTAAAAATGTATGTAACAGGCTGAAATTTAAAATGTAGATTCGCGTCGACCATCCAAGATTAAAAGCTATGGTAGATATATCTACGCTTATTGAGGGCATGGAAAGTCGTATTACACTGTATCTCCTAGAGTTTTAAAGCGAGAACGAAATTAAAATAAAATTTTGCACATGAGCTAATGTTATGATTCTATAAAGACTTATGAGAAAATTATATGTCTACGCCCACTCCCTAGTGGCAAATAGGACCTGAAGATATGCTGATTGTTCAAAATCTGCTATATTTTGGGCACTTTTGATGCTAGAGACCTGAAACTTGCTCTTCTAAGAAGAGGCTCAGTAGGGGCTCAGTAGGGGCGTGGCAAATCAAGAAATACTGCATTGCTGATAAATCAATGGGTGATGGGATATGACAGAGTATTTTGCAGAGTTCTTTTTTGTTGTTCAACTTCAAACGGCCATAAAACATTTAATTTTAGTTGAAATTAAGTAAGTTAAAATGCTAAAATGTAGCTTGAAGAATTACCTTTGCTATTATATCAATATATTTTATTTAATATAATTAACAAAAATTATGCATAAACCGGAAAACACCAAATTTGGCGTTGCTTTGATATTCGTTTTTTCTTTTACATCTGACCAGATTCGAGTTCTATTAAAAAACTGTTTGTTTTTATACCCTGAACCCATTGAAAATGGGAAATCAGGGTATAATGGTTTTGTTAAAAGTATGTAACAGGCAGAAGGAGGCGTGGCAGACCCCACAAAGTATATATATTCTTGATCAGGGCGACGAGCTAAGTCGATTTGGCCCTGTCCGTCTGTCTGTCCGTCCGTTCGTATGTATGAACGCGTCGATTTTAGAAGATATAAGAGCTAGAGACTTGAAATTTTTTTTCCTAGGTCCGTGTATATCACGCGCATATCAATTTTTTTTTTATATATCGATAACTACTCCCGATATTTTATTATCGATTAAAAACCTTATCGAAAGCTAGTTATTTAATTATATCTCCTACACCTTTAGAGCTAGAGCTTCCAAATGTAGACTTATATGTATTTTATATAATTTCGATTTTTGTTGTAATTTACCCACCACCCCCTCACCCTCACCTTTGTAAAAGGCGTATTTCAAGTACTAGAGGCATGTGCTTTGGAATGTACATACATTTTCACCATATAATTACGCCCTGAAACTTTCATTAAGATTGTACGTATAGAAATTAAATTATTCAACAAATAAATTCTTATAATGTTACCTACACTACAGCGCAGCCCAAGCACAGTTAGCAGAGCTCATTCTAATACGTGTGTATGTATGTGTGTCGAAAAGAAGTGCAGACTGATTAGAATATCAGATTAGAGGGTTCAGGGTATATCCTAGTCGAGCAGTCTCGACTAGAGTCTTCTTACTTGTTTTTTTAATATATGGTATGATATACATTATATTTTAGAGTGTCCCTTAGATGTTTTTTTTTTATAGTGGTTATAGTTTTCGTTGTGTCCTTGGAGTCGGTTTTAGCCCACTATTCGATAATAATTCGAAGTTTTATTTATTTTCTCTAACAAATGTCGAACCATTTAAGGTTTCAAATATATATACACATATATATACGCATACACAAAAGATTTTTAAATTTAATTTAACGGTTTTTGTATTTTACTTCCGATGGAGGTTGAAATTGTGTTTATATTTACGGGGTTAATTTGGGCTTCGCTCCTGAATTGCAAACAATAGATAATTGTAACAACTGTAAACCGTGTACCGAACCAAATAACATTAAAGCGTTTATTTTTCGTCAGTATGCTCGCACAGAATCGGAAATCCTGAATATTACAAGCAAATGTCAAAACGATTGGGTGGGTATTAGTAGTAAGTGTAACAATAAGGCGGTAAATACGAAAGAGATTTATGACCGCCTAGCTGGAACAGAAATGCCCAACCCTCGGGTAAGAAATATCTCATGTTGTGTTAAAACTGCTTACCGTGAAATTTGTTGTGATTGTGGATGTGATTACATCATATTACCATAAAATATATAATTTCATTAATGAAGCATATCTCATTGTCAATGAATATGGGGGTTTAAACTTTATTTTATACAAAAAGCATTTTTGTGTTAGGCATTAATAACGCTTTCTTCCGTATCTATGCAAAAATTATGAACATTAAATAAAATGTACGTATATGCAATCAACAATATAATATACAAATTCTAAGCTAATAATTAAATGTATTATCTATTTAGTTAATAGTGAAGTAAATTAGTGCTACATCCTTATTAATATGCCTTTTTATATTAAATGGTTAAAATCATAATTTTTATTGGTCATTCCAAGTAATTACACAAGTATTTTGTATTAGATCTCCTGGGTAAATTTAAATCAAATGTTAGATATTTTTTTACAAAAATCTAACAATTACATACACCTGGACACTCCTCTCTTCAGATTTATTTAAAAACATATAGTAACAATATATTTGTGGGTGCTGCCACGCCATCTTCTATCTGTCACATTTCCAAAACGGAATCGTTCATGTAGTCATCAATCAACACAATATTTTGAGGGATCTGAAAATACATATATAAGGACATTTGACATAAAGCTTTATTAAATTCCAAATGGTCTATGAATAACAGAACTAGCTGATTTGTGTTTTAATTTTTTAGATCAATAGCGATCTTTAGCTAATATAGTTCGAAAATCTGTCGTTGATTTTCACTTTGATCGTTAATATTTTAACAGAAGTTAATTTTCACTAAATTCAAGTTTTTGAATTTCGAAAATTTAATATAGGCCATCGTCTATAACTCAAAGCTAAATTTATTCAGTTTTATACGACTACTAACGCAGGTTGTTATATATTTAAGTAACTAATCATATAACATAAGATGATCAGATACTAAGTTCGTTCATTTAAAAAAAAATATATGCAAAGGAGTTGATAGATAGATGAATTATAAGAATGAATGCGTTGAAAAAAAATAAAGTGGTAAAGCGAAACTTTATTGATAAATTTCAGATAGATGACAGTCGAAAAGATTTTACAAGGTGAAGAAGTATGATATCCTCCTTTTTCCCAAACAAACAAAAAACAAAAAAAAACTGATTTTGTATAATTATTTTGTACTATTTTAACAATAAGTATTAACAAATTTTTATCATTATTATTATCTATTTTTTTTATGAATGAAACTAACAACTTTATAGCCATAAATTTAATATTTCAGTACCGCCGATAAAACATATATGGGCCAATCACGGCAGCCCATTATTTTGAGCAAATAGGAAGCGAGCACGACCAATGAATGCTTCAATATTGGACAAACTATTGCCATCCTCTTTTAATTTATATAAAGGTTCACAATATGCCGGTCGTGCACAATTGTGTTATTCATCTCGTTCTCTCAGTGTCTCTGTCTCGCTTTCTCTGTCTACTTTTTTCGCTCTCTGTCTGAGAGCATTTATAGACAAACAACACTCGTTCTCTCAATTTTGTTACACTCTTTGACTCCTTGGGTCAGTAGTCATGTTTTTTTTGTTTTTGTTTTTTTTTTCTTTGGATGATGAGTACCTTGTTATCTTTACTAACACTCAAATTAACAAGAAATTGAATATGTTTGTATTTATAAGTAAAAAAAATTTACGTATACATGAAAAAATTTACATAAATAGTTTTATTAATGAAAAGTAGGTAAAATTCTTATAGGACATTATTGATTACATTTGTATGTACATACATATATATTGAAAATAATAAAACAGTAATGGCGTGTAAATATCTAAATTTATATATACATATATATATATATATATATATATATATATATATATATATATATATATATATATCTATGTATATATATGTATATATATGTATATGCCTGTATGTAAAAACATACAGATATGGATAGGTATAGCTGTTTGCAAAAGAGTGGAATACAACGCTCAATACAATACTGGAAGAACTTCAAAACTAATCGATGCAAACCAGCCAAATTAACTAACAAGATTATGAAAACGTAAAATCAGTAAATCGCTAAAGTGGATGTAATTTTCTTTTTCAACACCTCGCGCTCATATTGGGTCGTCAGCTGCCGGGCGGCTGGTCTTTTTTGTTTTTGTGTGCAGTCGTTTATTGTAGTCGCTAAGCCATGTCTGTAGACACTCCCCACTACTATATATCGTCTTGTTTGCCATAGTATTGGCGTAGTGTGGTCTGGCCAAACTGGTTTGGTTCGTTTAGTAAATCTCTGACTCTTTTCTCGGCTCTCTCTTTGAAGTTTCGCCGTTTCAGAGGGATGATACATCGGCATGGCGGTGATTGGGAGAGAGCACGGGGGCAATGATGTGAGTGATTATATTTTGATTGCATTGCTCACTGTGGTTGGTTGTACTGCATTGCTCACTTAGTACAATAACCGACACGCCGTCTGTTAGTATGCTGTAAGAGTGATTTTGTTTTATGTGAGTCGGGTTCTTCGTTTGTTTTGCTTCGGGTCTGTCGTTATCTTCGCTTCAACCTCACTGCAAAGTTGCCACTGCTGCTCACGTATTCGTATTCAGCTTTAGATGGTAATTCGCCAGACCGGTCAAACATTGGAGAGCGCTTTTACATTCTGTGTTGTTGTGCTTTTGCTGAAGCTTATCGGAAGCGTAGTATTTTTGAGACGATTATTAACGCGAGGTCGCGTACCGTTGCTGCCGTCGCCAAAACGGACTGTTTACTTACAAAAATAAGTCTGGCAGCTAAGATAATGTGCTTGCAGTATACTTCGATACTTCGATTATTTTGTGTCTGCCGTCTAAAAAGCGATTCAATTAAACAATGGAGTTCATCATCAAATGAAAGTTTGTAAACTCGAAATAATCAATTTAACACGGGACTGCATTGGTTTTTTTTTTTATTCATAACGAAAAATTTAGAGCATTGAAATAATGCCAAGGCCTTCACGCGAGTCCTACGGTGATCAGAAACCTCCGTATTCATATATATCGCTGACAGCAATGGCTATTTGGAGCTCTCCGGAAAAAATGCTTCCTTTAAGCGATATATATAAATTTATAACCGACAGATTTCCATACTATCGGAAAAATACCCAACGCTGGCAAAACTCACTGAGGCACAATTTAAGTTTTAACGATTGCTTCATTAAAGTCCCACGACTTCCAGACAGACCTGGAAAGGGCGCCTATTGGGCTTTACACCCACAAGCATTTGATATGTTTGAAAACGGTAGTTTGCTGCGGCGAAGAAAACGCTTTAAGCTGCATAAGAGTGATAAAAATTTACTGAATGAAGAATTGACTGCACTGGCTAACATCAATCGATTTTTCTTTACCGCCCGATCCGGAAACACCATACCACAAGTGCCGACGTTGGACATAAATAGTACAACTCTGAATATGGAGTCTACCACGGGCTTGGTACAGTCTCCTATTAGTTTATCATCAACTATGGCACAGCATTGCTCATTACCACATGGACATAATGCAACGTTCCCACAATGCAGGCATATTTCATTAGCTGGTGGCGAAAATACAAATTTGGCCGAAGTGACACTGCGCAATCTACGCTCGTCAACAAACCTTGATATGGAGGGCATCAGTAGCTATCGACCGAAACGGTCTTTTACAATAGAAAGTCTAATTACTCCCGATAAGCCAGAGCAAATATCCGAGGAGGAGGAGGATGACGACGATCGCGCTGATATAGATGTGGTGGAGTGCGAAAATTCGTACAGTAAAATAACTGATTACCCACGAAGATCATCTGCTGAATGTCTGCCAACAACTGTCTCTACTCGTACTGAAGATCAACGCCAACGCCCACTACCTCCTCTGCACACAATAACAGCTTCTGCGCATTTACCATTTATTCATTATGCTGCTGGTGTCAACGTATCTGGCCTGAATTCCAGCAGCGTCCAGTCGTCAGGGGCTCACACAATGACTTATGATTTGGCTATGGCTCATCCGCTATTGATGATGTCCGCACCAATCGGAAATCTTAGTAGTAGTTATTGTAACAATTTTTCAATGATACCACCGCCGCAAGCATACCGTGGATCGGAAGCTCAAAATAGAATAAGCGCCGGTATGCGAACAATATAAAAGTTATTTCCTAGTATAAATGTATTTACATGAGAGAAAAAAATGTGAGCCACCACACTGTTGATGTAAATAATCATAGTTCCTTTAATAATACTAATTACATAATTATCAAATACAAAATATAAGCTCCTATTCCAAACATGGAATCATAAGAATGGAAAGTTTAATTTCATTAACAATTAAGAGTATATGTGTACGAAATCATTTTCATTTTCTTTTTAGGATCTCTCTTTCTCTGTTTTAGAAAATTAAAGTTTATATAGTATTAAAAAATGTATATATATAGGTAGATGAATTATTTTCATAAATTATTATTATAAATATTATCATGTCCAAAAATATTCACATTTTATTATCTTATGCTTTATGTAAACGTAGACACGTTCATAAGCTTGTCAAATCGCATTGAAATATTTAATAAACAAGAAGAAAATTCAAAAGAAGTAGTAGTAAAAGTCAAAATAAAAATTCGTATTTTCAATGATCCAATTATGTTTATGTAAGTTACTCATCCGACTCATTCTGAAGTTACCGTGAATTATGTATCTTTGAATTGGTGATCTTAAGTTAAAAACAATGATATATTTCTGACTACATAACTGCGACATAATCCTTTTAAATAATATGCCGTTAGTAGATATATTAGTTTTTCATACATTAGGACATATTCCAGATATCAAGCTCAGAGTTTATATATAGAGTTTATATATAGTAAAAATAAAAAAAAAAAAATGTGAGTGTAATTGTTGTGTACAAATATGTGCTCTAGACAGTATAAAATATATGTATATCTCTTTATGTCCATGAAATACATGTGTATACAACAAAAAATAAAACATTACATTACACCCTGTGTTTATTTTTTATATACACAGTGCATTGGATAATGACAAATAGCTCTTCATATTATTTATTTACCTTATTTTATATTCATTTTGGGCACTATTGCGTGGCCCTTCTGGGCCTCCAAAAGAACACAATATACTTCGATTTTTGATTGTGCTTGGGTATGGCATTTCCTAGTTGAACGCTACGGACTAGAATACTTTTATTTATTTACCCTGTTCTAAGAACTTAAATAGAATACAATTTTGTTTGCATACATATATGCTAAGCAAGTAGCCAACCCATTGAAAATGGGAAATCAAGGTATACTGGTATGTAACAGGCAGAAGGAATCATCGCAGACCCCATAAAGTGTACATATATATTCTTGATCAGGACGACGAGCTGATTCGATATAACCCTGTCCGTCCGTATGAGCAAGCCAATCTCAGAAGATATAAAACTAGAGAGCAAAAATTTGGCATGTGTACTCGTGTGTACTATACGCAGTACAAGTTTATCTTATTTTCTCATCCGATAACTTTTTTGTCGAGAATAATGGAAAAATTGATTTTGTTTTTTCAGCCTTATTTGAACACTTTTAGACCTGAAGAATTCAGATTTACTGTCCATATACATTTGATGAATACAACGATTTTGTAATTTACAGATTTTGGATACCACCCGCCCTTCGCACAGGAGCTTAGGAAAGTCCGTCTACAAAAGAAAGTATTCAACTAATAAATTCTCATAATATTGCCTACACCGCAGTTCAGCCCAAGCGCTGTCGCTGTTAACTGCGCAGTCAGCAGAGCGCGAGATCATACGTGCTTGTGGATGCGTGTCTATGCATGTGTCTATAAAAGAAGTGCAGATTGAGTAGAATATCAGCTTAGAGGATTCAGGGTATCGCCAAGTCGTGCAGTCTCGACTGGAGCCTTCTTATTTGTTTGCATAGTGTTTTTATACTCATTCCCGAAAGTGAATGTTATAAAAATGTTATAATTTTATAAAGTATAATAAAATTAATGCAAAAACAAGTAAGAAAACTCTAGTCGAGGTCGAGAGCTCTCGACTATATACTACCCTCAACCAAACTAATAAAAATGCACATTTAGTATGGCTAAAAATTCAATTTCGCTGTTTTTAAAAATATAAATGAAATAGAAAACTCATTTCATTAAATATAAATATAAATAAACTGAAAAAGATTCACTACTGCAGCGCCATCTAGTAAAACTAAAATAAACTGATCAAATTTGAATGTATGTGTGCACACGTATACAATACTGTTAATTGGCCAAACATATTATTATTTTGTTACGTCGATTGACTTAACGGAATTTAATGAAACTTTCAGCATATGATCTACATATTCTATTGAATATTTGACAAATTTAAAACAAGTAAGAAAGCTCTAGTCGAGACTGCTCGACTACGAGATCCCCTGAACCTTTCGAGCAATAGCTGTTTCAATCATTTTTCGTGTCTCTCTGCTTACACAAGATAATTGCTTAGTAACTTTTTTTGTGGACATACGATCTTCATGAAACTTTCAGATCATAATTATAACCAAAATATGCGTGCACTTGCCAAAGCACAAGTCTCTAGTATTTGAAATATGCCTTTTACAAATGTGAGGGTGAGGTTTTGAATTAAAGGTGGAGGGTGAATTTCAACAAAACCGAAATTGTATAAAATGCATATCAAAATACATTCAAAATTTGTAGACTGTAGCTCTAAAGATGTAGGAGATATAATTTTATAACTGATTTTCGACAAGGTTTTTTATCGATAAAAAAGATCGGGATGAGCTATCGATTTTTAGTGATAAACTCGATATCCGCGCTGTAAATACGGACATTTAAAAAAAATATTTTTTTCTCTAGCTCTAATATCTTCTGAAATCGACGCGTTCATACATACGGACAGACGGACAGGCGGGCGGACAGACAGACGGACAGACGGACAGACGGACAGAGCTAAATCGACTCAGCTCGTCGCCCTGATCAATAATATATATACTTTATGTGGTCTGCCACGCCTCCTTCTGCCTATTACATACATTTCAACATTGTACCCTGATTTCCCATTGAAAATGTGTTCAAGGTATAACAAGTAAGAACGTTGCAGTCGGGCGTTACCGACTGCGGAATACTCATTTACAAGAGTTAGAGACCTCAATTTTTTTGTAAAATATGCGTTTATACCACGCGAATATCGAATTTTGCTTTAAAAATCGATAAATACTACCGATATTTTTTATCGGTTAAAACATTATCGAAAATCAGTTATAAAATTATATCTCCTTCATCTTTAAAGCTAGAGTCTCCAAATTTTATATGTATACTTATATGCATTTTATACTATTTCGGCTTTTGTCAAAATTTACCCCCCACCCCTAATTCACCCCCTCACCCTCAAATTTATAAAAGGCGTATTTCAAATACTAGGGACTTGAGCTTTGGCAAATACATGGATATCTATGTTTTATTCATAATCTGAAAGTTTCATGAAGATAAGAAAGCTGTAGTCGAGACTGCCTGACTACGAGATCCCCTGAACTCCTTCGAGCAACTGATATTGCAATAATTATTCGCACATGCACACACATACGCACACACACAGTCATACGCACGTACGCATAAACACGCATTGGCTGCAGTGGTGGCTTACCATGGGAACTTAATTGTTTAATAACTTTTCTTGTGAATGGACTATATTTCAGATTATGAATATAACATAGATATGCATGTATTTACCAAAGCACAAGTCTCTAGTGCTTGAAATAGTCCTTTTACAAACTAGGTGAATTAGGAGTGGTGAGTAAATTTTGACAAAAATCGAAATTGTATAAAATGCATACATTTAAAATTTGGAGACTCTAGCTTTAAAGGTGTAGGAGATATAATTTTATAACTGGTTCTCGATACGGTTTTTTATCGATAAAAATACCGGGATGAGTTTTCGATTTTTGGTGATATATTCGATATCCGCGCTGTATATACGGACATTTAAAAACACAATTTGAAGTCTCTAGCTCTTATATCTTCTGAAATCGACGCGTTCATACATACGGACAGACAGGCGGACAGGGCCAAATCGACTCAGCTCGTCGCCCTGATCAAGAATATATATACTTTATGTGGTCCTCACATTTTCAATGGGTTCAGGGTATAATTAGTAACAATCTTGCAGTCGGGCGTTAGAGACTACAAAATACTTATTCACGGTCCAAATGGTGCCAAGTTTGTACAGATTTTATACATGGCATTTGAACATTTTTATTCGCATTTACAGCAAGCAAAAATAAATAAAACAAGTAAGAAAGCTTTATTCAAGATTGCTCGACTACGAGACCCCCTGAACCCTTTGAGCAACTGATAAATCAATAAGTCGTCGCGTCTTTCTGCTTACACAAGAAACAGCACATGCACAAGGGTGTGGGGTTAGTTATAACCAAAAAGAAATATAAACTCTCTAGCTTTAATATCTTCTGTGATCGACGGACTTGCACATACGGACAGACCGACGGACGGACAGAAAACGACTCAGTACGTCATCCTGATCAATAATATATATACTTTATGGGGTCTGACATTCCACCTTCTGCCTGTTACGTAACTTTTAACAAAAACAGTATACCCTGATTTGCAATTGAAATGGGCTCAGGGTATAAATACTAATGTAGTTAATATATTTAACCGTATTGGGTGCGTGGAAAATCGGGTAAAACTACTCCACAACGATACACTAAAAATTAAATTTCACACTTCTTTGGACGTGTGGCATATTGTGAATATCTAAGAATAGTTAAATTTCTTAGCAGTGCTTAACATAAGTTCCCGCGTACTGGGGGAAATTCTATCTCCTACACTTAAAGAGCAATTTAACTACTTGCCTTCCAATTGATTTACCAATGATTAAATACACATATGCGACTTGGTACTTAGCATATTATGTCTAACATTATTTAGATGTAGATCATCCTAAACAGAGCTAAGCTGAGACCACTAAGTAGTAAATACATATACCATAAATATGTATTTTATAATGATTAAAACACATTTTTGGATCTTCAACAAGCATTATTTATTTATTTATTTATTTTATTTATTTTCTTAAAGCTATTGACAAAAACGAGAGTCAATGGCCCAAAAATAAAAACGACGATTATAATTTGAAGAAACAGTTGCCGTATGGCCGAAGTTTAAGAGACGATTTTTGAGCCAATGATTATTATTCTGAAGAAGCTTTCAGATTTTCAGCGCTAATCTGTATTTTTGGCTAAAGGATTTGCATTTAATTATTAACTGATAACTATAAGAACCGTTTTAAGTGTAAGTCTCACTAGCAGGTTTGATGTTGATTAAGAATGAAAAAAGTACGGATGCAATGGAAACGCAAACGTTCCATGAATAATATCTCCACAATAATTG